CTCAAGTCACAACTGCTTAGGTTCCATAGAATCTGCACTAGACATGAGGATTTTAAAAGTGCAACCAGAGCACTGTTTACAGCTTTGTCCACTAGGGGGTACACCAGGACAATGTTCAGGAAGGCTCTCAGAACTTTTCAGCACACAAAGCCTCAGGTCGTTGGCTCTTTATTACCGGTTATAACAACTTATTCCCCCTCAACAGTACGGTTGGTCAAAGTAATTAAAAATAATTTCAATAAATTTGTGGAAAACTCTCAGCTCTTAGGAGATTACAGGATTGTTCCTGCTTTTAGAAAAAATAAAAATGTACAGGATATTCTGGTCAAAGCAAAAATGGAACCACTAAGGGTGTCCAAATCCACAGGATATAAGGAATTTTTTCAACATCAGGTATGGGTACACAACCGACATAGTAAAGAGGTATTCGCCACACAGAGTAACACTACTGTTCATTCAAAAAACTGTGTTTATTTGATCCAGTGTAAACAGTGTGGAATTCAATATGTTGGTGAAACAGGTAACACTCTACTCACCAGATTCACACAACACAGGTACAACATTGTCAAAATGAAGGATGTGCACATTCCGCTAGTACAACATTTTATAAAACACAATTGGTCCCATCTTACAGCCACTGTGTTAGAGTGCAATTTCAGGTGGTCCACGCCCCAGAGGAGAAGGGCAGAGAGGTTGTGGATACACCGACTTGGCACTCTGCATCCGCTGGGCCTCAATGACAGGTGAGGTTCCCTGGATTTGCTGTGAGCACTTGGTTTGTGCATTACATGTCACCGCCTTCGGCGGCGACATTTCTTTTCAATTCCTAACCCTAACCCTAACCCTAACCCTAACCCTAACCTAACCCTAACCCTAACCCTAACCCTAACCCTATACAGCTGAGTTTATCGATTACTATCTTAATCCTCTCTCGACCAAACATCAAAGTTATATTAAAGATACCTATGATTTCATAGAAAAAATAAAACACATTGTCATTCCATCTGAGGCGTTTCTGTTCACTATGGACATTGACAGCCTTTATACCAACATTGACATTAAGGAAGGCCTACAATCCATTAAAAACATATTTTATAAGTATCCAGATAAAACGAGGCCAGACAAAGAATTATTGCAACTGTTAGAAATCAACCTTACCAGGAATGATTTTGAATTTGATGGCAACTTCTTTCTCCAGATCAAAGGAACAGCTATGGGAAAGAAGTTTGCCCCTGCTTATGTCAACATTTTCATGGCAGACTGGGAGACATCAGCCTTGGCTGCTTGCTCTCAAAAGCCACTTCATTACTATAGATTTCTGGATGACATTTGGGGAATTTGGCCATACTCGAGAGAAGATTTTGATATTTTTTTGATTACTTTGAATAACCACAACCGGTCCATCAAGCTAAAATCCACTTTTAGCTTAAATACTGTTGATTTTCTAGACACTACGACATTTAAAGGCCCTAATTTTGAACAGCATTTTAAATTGGACATCAAGGTTTTTTTTAAAGATACTGACACACATGCCTTGTTATTTAGGTCTAGTTTCCATCCGGCACACACCTATGCAGGTTTGCTCAAGTCACAACTGCTTAGGTTCCATAGAATCTGCACTAGACATGAGGATTTTAAAAGTGCAACCAGAGCACTGTTTACAGCTTTGTCCACTAGGAGGTACACCAGGACAATGTTCAGGAAGGCTCTCAGAACTTTTCAGCACACAAAGCCTCAGGTCGTTGGCTCTTTATTACCGGTTATAACAACTTATTCCCCCTCAACAGTACGGTTGGTCAAAGTAATTAAAAATAATTTCAATAAATTTGTGGAAAACTCTCAGCTCTTAGGAGATTACAGGATTGTTCCTGCTTTTAGAAAAAATAAAAATGTACAGGATATTCTGGTCAAAGCAAAAATGGAACCACTAAGGGTGTCCAAATCCACAGGATATAAGGAATTTTTTCAACATCAGGTATGGGTACACAACCGACATAGTAAAGAGGTATTCGCCACACAGAGTAACACTACTGTTTATTCAAAAAACTGTGTTTATTTGATCCAGTGTAAACAGTGTGGAATTCAATATGTTGGTGAAACAGGTAACACTCTACTCACCAGATTCACACAACACAGGTACAACATTGTCAAAATGAAGGATGTGCATATTCCGCTAGTACAACATTTTATAAAACACAATTGGTCCCATCTTACAGCCACTGTGTTAGAGTGCAATTTCAGGTGGTCCACGCCCCAGAGGAGAAGGGCAGAGAGGTTGTGGATACACCGACTTGGCACTCTGCATCCGCTGGGCCTCAATGACAAGTGAGGTTCCCTGGATTTGCTGTGAGCACTTGGTTTGTGCATTACATGTCACCGCCTTCGGCGGCGACATTTCTTTTCAATTCCTAACCCTAACCCTAACCCTAACCCTAACCCTGCTTTTATATAAATCCAAACTAGATTACAGCCTGCAGAATCCTGGTGCTTACTGACACATACATTACATAGTTATAAACATACTGATATACACATACATAGATATACACATATATTATTTCATTGAGATGTCAAGAATGGGAGCAGTAGAGATGTGCAAGGGCGGTAGGCCCGTGCAACCTAGGGTACCAACCAACACAAAAATAACCTCCTACAAACCTAACCCTAACCCAACTTTACAAAAAAAAACATTTTATATGTTGGATTATTTATTTAATTGTATGTTATTTCTTTCTTCTTTTATCTCTCTGATATGGACAGGGCTTTTCCCCAAACTTTGTTCATCCAGCATGCCTTTTTATAAATTATTTGTGTACTTATTTATACTTATCTCTTTATACATACCTTTTTTAAGTATTTTAAATATATCTTACATAGGCACTTAACACAAGTGATTCATTTAGCATGTTTTTATGGATTACCCGTGTCACTATTTATTTGTATTTATTAGCACTTGCCTTCATACTGTGAACACTGTATAAATATTCTACTATGGCACTTAACATACGTTTTTAATCCTAACATATTGCACTTTTATACTCTTACTTCCATTTTGTTTTAGATGTGCTGGGTGGTCCTCTAATATCCTGCTTTTTTATATAAATCCTAACTAGATTACAGCCTGCAGAATCCTGGTGCTTACTGACACATACAGAACATATACATGCACATTAAATAGTTATATAAATAAAACATACTGATATATACTTAGATATACATGTATTATTATACTGAGATGTCAATAATGGGAGCAGTAGAGATGGGCAATGGCGGTAGGCCCGTGCAACCTAGGTGACCAACCAACACAAAAATAACCTCCTACAAACCTAACCCCTACCCTAACCCTAACAAAGGTACGGGAGGTCAACCGGAGTCGTCTCCTGAACCTGAAGTTTGTTCACAACACAATCTCAGGCTTGGGGGTGCCCGTATGGCTCAGAATAGACCTATAAACAGCCATTGTAGTTTTTGCAATTAAGTGTAGAAAGTGTGGCAAGTTGTACGTGGGGAAACACAAAATGACTTCAAACACAGACTGAAGCAACACTTACACCACAGCATTAAACAAGACAAAAACACGGTTTTATATGCACACTTCCAGGGGCACGGAGTGGAGAACTTGACCACCTGTGGCTTGGATACCAACGTCTCCTGATCCAACACACTGAGACAAAGGGCAGAGAGACGTTGGATCGGGGTTTTAAACAGTTGATCCATTGGGCTTAAATGAAAGGTTTTAACCACTTCTTGAAAGGCGTCCCGTCGGCGGGAAACTTGCAGTACCCTATACAACCACTAGGGTTACTTGCAGTACCCTAAACAACCATTACAACCTCAACGACAAAGATCGCGAATTCAAAAACGTCCGTTTAATAATATACTACATGCTTATATTATGCATAAAGGTTAGAATCTCCTCTTTCTAACAACGTTTTCCGTTTTAAAATAGCTAAAACACAGACCGTTTTATTAGCAATTGAAATGACTGCTAATGGCACTGATGACGCCATCATACTTTTTAACCAAATCGATGAAATACTATAATATTGTACTTACATCAGCCAAAGTTGATCGTTTTTCATTTCCTATATTCCCAGGGATATTATTAGCATCGTTTATGTATGAATATATGTTAACAACTTTCAACACGATCTATTTCTCTCACAACAGCAGCCTCCATGATGAAAACACTTCCTTATCGAAGGTACGTCAGTTCCCTATGCAGACGCATGGGAGCAAAGCCCTATGGGAAATGAAGTCCAGTGTAGGAGCTAATGCACTGAGACCAGAGACTGAAAGCAAAAAATACCACCTCACTAAAATAGCTGTATTTCGGTCATTAATTGAGATAGAGACTTGAAACAAAGTCTGGAATAAAGCTGAGACCCAGGGGAACACAGAGAAACCCTAACCCACTAACTCCAACCCTAACCCTAACCCTTAAATGCCTAGTCCAGTCCACACGCAACACCGTCCATACAGTGGAGGAACTGGTTTAGCTCAATGGTAGAGTGCATGCTCTGTATGTATGATGTCATGGGTTCCTATTGGAGGAGTTGGTATCTCAGTGGTAGAGTGCATGCTCTGTATGTATGATGTCCTGGGTTCCTATTGGAGGAGTTGGTATCTCAGTGGTAGAGTACATGCTCTGTATGTATGATGTCATGGGTTCCTATTGGAGGAGTTGGTATCTCAGTGGTAGAGTGCATGCTCTGTATGTATGATGTCCTGGGTTCCTATTGGAGGAGTTGGTATCTCAGTGGTAGAGTACATGCTCTGTATGTATGATGTCATGGGTTCCTATTGGAGGAGTTGGTATCTCAGTGGTAGAGTGCATGCTCTGTATGTATGATGCCCTGGGTTCCTATTGGAGGAGTTGGTATCTCAGTGGTAGAGTACATGCTCTGTATGTATGATGTCATGGGTTCCTATTGGAGGAGTTGGTATCTCAGTGGTAGAGTGCATGCTCTGTATGTATGATGCCCTGGGTTCCTATTGGAGGAGTTGGTATCTCAGTGGTTGAGTACATGCTCTGCATGTATGATGTCCTGGGTTCAATCCCCAGCTTCTCCCCAGTATTCCATTGCAAATGAGAATTTGGTAAAAAAAATACACAATAATGCACAAACACAAGGTTATACACTCCTTCACAGTCAAATACTTTATTCTTATTAATAATGTTTTTTGCTCCTTTAAAAAATCTTTTCAACACCATTTCAGACAACACATTTGTGTTAACAACTAATTTGAGCTCAGTGAGGGTTAGTCATTCAGAACCTAGACAGAGTAAGGTTGGGGTAGAGCATGACAGGGTTAAGGTGGGGGCAGAACCGAGACAGGTGAGGCAATGTGGGGGGCAGAACATGACAGGGTTAAGGTGGGGGCAGAACCGAGACAGGTGAGGCAATGTGGGGGCAGAACATGACAGGTGAGGCAATGTGGGGGCAGAACATGACAGGTGAGGCAATGTGGGGGCAGAACATGACAGGTGAGGTAATGTGGGGGCAGAACATGACAGGTGAGTTAATGTGGGGAGAGAACATGATAGGTGAGGTGAGGGGGGAGAACATGACAGGTGAGGTAATGTGGGGGGGAGAACATGACAGGTGAGGTAATGTGGGGGGGGAACATGACAGGTGAGGTAATGTTGGGGGAGAACATGACAGGTGAGGTAATGTTGGGGGAGAACATGACAGGTGAGGTAATGTTGGGGCAGAACATGACAGGTGAGGTAATGTGGGGCAGATCATGACAGGTGAGGTAATGTTGGGGCAGAACATGACAGGTGAGGTAATGTTGGGGCAGAACATGACAGGTGAGGTAATGTGGGGGCAGATCATGACAGGTGAGGTAATGTTGGGGCAGAACATGACAGGTGAGGTAATGTGGGGGCAGATCATGACAGGTGAGGTAATGTTGGGGCAGAACATGACAGGTGAGGTAATGTGGGGGCAGAACATGACAGGTGAGGTAATGTGGGGCACAAGCTATAGATCTAGAGACAAGGGATTACAATTATTAGTACAATGTAACAAAGAGAGCAAAATGAATACTAATAAAAACTAATAAAAACAGAAATAGGTCACTAGCACACAATGACGTGCCATCAATCATCCATGCAGAACAGTCTTCAGAGAAAAAACAAACATGTTGGCTTGCTTTCTTCCAGTCATTTATTCCTTCCTTTTACTTTCACCAAATAAAATATAAGAAATGAACAAGATTGACACAGTTGTTGGTGCCTGAAGAGGCCAGGTAAGGGCCTCCCAGGTTAGGGCCTCCCAGGTTAGGGCCTCCCAGGTTAGGGCCTCCCAGGTTAGGGCCTCCCAGGTTAGGGCCTCCCAGGTTAGGGCCTCCCAGGTTAGGGCCTCCCAGGTTAGGGCCTCCCAGGTTAGGGCCTCCCAGGTTAGGGCCTCCCAGGTTAGGGCCTCCCAGGTTAGGGCCTCCCAGGTTAGGGTTAGGTCTCCCAGTCTAGTTGGGAGGAGCGGAGCCTCAGCCTGTTACATCAAATCCTCCGATAGTGTCGGCCCCAGAGCGCCGGCCCCAGAGTGCCCTCACCAGCAGTCTCCAGCCATTCAGTTCAGATTCCTTCATGTCTGTTGCTGAACATGTCTTGGATGGACAGAGTTGAGGGAGCGTGACCTAACAGACTACTCTCCGGGTGGGAGTGTGTTCGTGTGGGTTTAGGGGTCATGGGGCAGTCTGGTGGAGGGAGGAACGAGCCCTCTGTGTGAAAACCACGAAGAGGACCGAAATGATGCAGAGGATGATGGAGGAGTGGAGAGGGTGTGTCTGTTCCTGATGATGGAGTGGAGACGGTGTGTCTGTTCTTGACCATTAGTACCGTCCCCGGATACACACACATCCACATTCCATCAGGGATGTCCTGTACACACACACACACACACACACATATCGTTCAGGTAGAACCGTCTAGAACTGTTTCCACCTGCAGTTTTTCCTTGTAACCCATGGCAACATTTCATTTATCTATGTTGATGTAGTTCTAGTGAAACTATGCAGATTTACAACACAGCCGGTAATCTGTATCTTCTATTTGGTGATGGACAGGTGTGTTTTGCTGCTATTAGAATGTGTGTGTACCTGCTATCTGGAGATGTACGTGTATGTGCGTGAGGGCGACCGGCCCTCAGTCTGTCCATTGGTCGACACATTGAGGAAATCCCAGATTAGGATGGTATCGTCATGGGAACTGCTGATGATCTGGAACTCATCAAACTGGAGCCGGAATACACGCCCAGAGTGCTCCTGAAATACACCACAATGGTTGTCAGCCCCACCCACCATGACCAGCCCCACCCACTTTGACCAGGCCCCCCCCACCATGACCAGGCCCCACCCACTAGACTCCACTCACCACAAGTGTCCGTAGGCAGAGGGTGCTGGCGGGGGCTCGTGGGTCCAGAGCTGCCTGCAGGTCCCAGACTTTGATTTTACTATGAAGGAACACAACAGGAAATTAACAGCCTCCCAGTTTACTTCTGAATAACAGCCTACCAGCTTACTTCTGATTAACAGCCTACCAGCTTACTTCTCATTAAGAGCCTACCAGCTTACTTCTCATTAAGAGCCTACCAGCTTACTTCTCATTAAGAGCCTACCAGCTTACTTCTCATTAAGAGCCTACCAGCTTACTTCTCATTAAGAGCCTACCAGCTTACTTCTCATTAAGAGCCTACCAGCTTACTTGATTTTACGCTGTGGTCAAAACAGAGCAGAACACAGTGTTTGATATTAGTAGTCAAAATAACAAGGATAAACAGCAGTGGCTACTGGTGAAAGAGGAAGAAAGACAAACACCTGCCAGAGAGACACAATAAGGTTAAGGGAGAGACCAGGAACTTACCCATCATAAGGTTAAGGGAGAGACCAGGAACTTACCCATCATAAGGTTAAGGGAGAGACCAGGAACTTACCCATCATAAGGTTAAGGAGAGACCAGGAACTTACCCATCATAAGGTTAAGGAGAGACCAGGAACTTACCCATCATAAGGTTAAGGGAGAGACCAGGAACTTACCCATCATAAGGTTAAGGGAGAGACCAGGAACTTACCCATCATAAGGTTAAGGAGAGACCAGGAACTTACCAATCATAAGGTTAAGGGAGAGACCAGGAACTTACCCATCATAAGGTTAAGGAGAGACCAGGAACTTACCCATCATAAGCACCGCTAACAATCCTTTTGTTGTCGAAGCGAATGCATCGTACCAACTCTTCATGGCCTTCCAACACCCGCAAACAAGCCCCGCACTCAATATCCCACAACCTGGAGAGAGAACCACTATTCCATTACAGATACCCTGAATATCCCACAACCTGGAGAGAGAACCGCTATTGCATTACAACCTGGAGAGAGAACCGCTATTGCATTACAGATACCCTGAATATCCCACAACCAGATTGCATTACAGATACCCTGAATATCCCACAACCTGGAGAGAGAACCGCTATTGCATTACAGATACCCTGAATATCCCACAACCTGGAGAGAGAACCGCTATTCCATTACAGATACCCTGAATATCCCACAACCTGGAGAGAGAACCGCTATTGCATTACAGATACCCTGAATATCCCACAAATATCCCACCAATCCCACCTGGAGAGAGAACCACTATTGCATTACAGATACCCTGAATATCCCACAACCTGGAGAGAACCGCTATTCCATTACAGATACCCTGAATATCCCACAACATGGAGAGAGAACCGCTATTGCATTACAGATACCCTGAATATCCCACAACCTGGAGAGAGAACCACTATTCCATTACAGATACCCTGAATATCCCACAACCTGGAGAGAGAACCGCTATTCCATTACAGATACCCTGAATATCCCACAACATGGAGAGAGAACCGCTATTGCATTACAGATACCCTGAATATCCCACAACCTGGAGAGAGAACCGCTATTGCATTACAGATACCCTGAATATCCCACAACCTGGAGAGAGAACCACTATTCCATTACAGATACCCTGAATATCCCACAACCTGGAGAGAGAACCACTATTCCATTACAGATACCCTGAATATCCCACAACCTGGAGAGAGAACCGCTATTGCATTACAGATACCCTGAATATCCCACAACCTGGAGAGAGAACCGCTATTCCATTACAGATACCCTGAATATCTCACAACATGGAGAGAGAACCACTACTCCATTACAGATACCCTGAATATCCCACAACCTGGAGAGAACCGCTATTGCATTACAGATACCCTGAATATCCCACAACCTGGAGAGAGAACCGCTATTCCATTAGGGAAATCTTGGAGAGCAGTCAGGATGAACCATGTCGCTCTACAGATATCGATCCATCTATCAAGAGACACAATATCTATATTCATATTTCTATGTCCGTGCGGTTACATTTAGGACAGAGACACCATATCTATGTTCATATTTCTATGTCCGTACGGTTACATGTAGGACAGAGACACAATATCTATATTCATATTTCTATGTCCGTACGGCTACATTTAGGACAGACACCATATCTATATTCATATTGCTACGTCCGTACGGCTACATTTAGGACAGAGACACCATATCTATATTAATATTTCTATGTCCGTACGGCTACATTTACGACAGAGGCACCATATCTATATTCATATTTCTATATCCGTACGGCTGCATTTAGGACAGAGCCACACCAAACTAACTCCAACTCACCGGATGGTGTTGTCTGAGGAGCCGCTGACCACCAGTCGATCTCTGTACTGCAGGCAGGCGATGCCTCTCTTGTGGCCGTTCAGCGTGCGCACAAATTCGCACGTACTGGTGCTCCACACCTGCAGGGGGAATTTTTGCACCACAACGTGAGCCCACGGGAAACAACCATGGAGGTCAGCCCAAAACAGGCAGGGACACATGCCTCTTCTAACACCACGCCCTACCTCGTTCCACAGCAGAGCCTATAAGACACGTCAGCGAGGATACAGTGCAGGTGAAGTGTGAATAGTATTAAAATTACTATAGTTATAGTATTACTATAGTATTATTAGAACTATAGTAATAGTATTATTATAACTATATTA